AACTAATGCACCTGCTACATTCCAGCGAGTAATGCAGAGTGCTATGAGTGACTTTCTATTTCAAATAATGTTGGTGTACTTGGATGATATACTGGTTTACTCAAAAACTTGGGAGGACCATCTAGAAAGATTAGAACAAGTGTTTCTCCGTCTTAGGGAGATAGGAGTAAAGCTGAACCCAGACAAATGCTGCTTCGGTCTGAAATCGGTACATTTTTTGGGTTACGTGATTTCGTCGGATGGCATCGCCACTGACCCAGATAAAATTGCAGCTGTTAAAGAATGGAAACAGCCAACAACTACGGTAGAGGTCAGATCATTCTTGGGCTTTGCTTCCTATTATAGAAAATTTGTGCCTGGTTTTGCAAAAATTGCCGCACCATTGCATGACTTGGTAAACAAAATGACAAAGAAACACAGTAAGGAGAAAAAGAAAGGTAAAACACAACTGATAGGTGAATTATGGACTGATGAATGCCTGAACTCGTTTAAGCTATTGAAAAAGGCTTTGACAGAGGCGCCGATATTGGGATACGCAGACTTTGACAAACCATTTCGGCTACAAATTGACGCCAGCTCTAAAGGTCTGGGAGCTGTGCTATCACAACAACAAAAGCAAGGCTTCAGGGTTATTGCTTATGCCAGTCGAGCTCTGAAGGAATCAGAGAAGAACATGACAAATTACAGCGCCATGAAACTAGAACTGTTGACATTAAAATGGGCTGTGACGGAAAAATTCAGGGACTATCTATTAGGTGCTAAATGTGTGGTATACACTGACAATAACCCCTTGAGTCACCTAAAGACAGCAAAGTTGGGATCCATCGAACAGCGATGGGCAGCAGAATTGGCACTCTTTGACCTGGAGATAAAATTTCGCCCGGGGCGGTCCAATGGCAATGCGGACGCCTTATCAAGGAATCCTTACGAGAGACCGGGCGATGAGGAAGAAACGCTGACAGGAATATGTGAGGTCAGAGCGTCAACAGATATCCCTCACGGGGTGCAAGTGAGGCAGAACGGACAGACCGGGGTGGAGCACATTTCCACAGAGCCCGGACATATGGACATTGGTGATTTTAATTGCCTTAATCACAAAGAGATAAGAAATGCCCAGAGAACGGATAGTGGCCTACAGCCGCTGTTGAAACACGTCCAGGAACAAAAATTCCCAGGAAGAAGGGAAAGAGAACAATTTGGTCGAGAAACAAAGAAAATACTGAGTCAGTGGGACCGTCTCAGTATACAGGATGGTGTTCTCATGCGGAGAATTCATGACCAAATTGATGGGACAATACACCAGGTGGTGGTGCCTGGACAATTACGAGAAGAAGTGCTAAGGTTGGCACATGACAGGGCAGGACACCAGGGTCAGGACAGGACGCACAAAATATTACGACGAAGGTGTTACTGGCCCAATATGGAAATGGAGGTCAAACGCCATTGTGAGGCTTGTGTGAGGTGTCAGCATGCGAAAATGCCAGTTGTCAAAATGAGACAGCCATCGGGACACATATTAGCGACAAAACCACTAGAGATTGTGGCTATGGACTTTACGTCGTTGGAGCAATCATCGGATGGGACGGAACATGTGTTGGTAATGACTGATGTTTTCACCAAATGGACTGTGGCGGTGCCCACACGAGATCAGACTGCCAAAACAGTGGCAAAGGTCTTAATAGAACATTGGTTCATCAAATATGGCATACCAAGACAATTACACTCTGACCAAGGAAGGGCCTTCGAGTCAGAAGTAATTAACCAACTGTGCAGCCACTACGGGATCAACAAATCTAGAACAACCACATTTAATCCGAAAGGAAACGGACAGCGCGAGCGGTTCAACCGCAGCATGCATGATTTGCTGCGTACTCTAGAACCTGAACAGAAAAAACGTTGGCCTGATTTTCTCCCAGAGTTGGTATATCTATACAACTGCACACCCCATGCCACAACCGGCTTTTCGCCATACATGTTGCTGTTCGGACGGGAGGCTCGACTCCCCCTTGACTTGTTCCTAGGAAAAAAGGAGAGTATGACTGGCTCATACACTGCACTGGAATATGTGAATGAACATATGAGACGAATTAGAGAAATGTACAGGGTAGTACAGGAAAGACTAGAACATGAAGCACGGCGAAGGGAACCGCCGGTACAGACAAAGGACCCGCCACTCAAACTGAACGACAGGGTATTACTGCGTAGCCACCCGTTAGGCAGAAACAAAATCCACGATCTCTGGGGACAGGAGATATGGCAAGTCGTGGAGATGCCTAAAGTAGCAGGTGGCCCCTTTAAGATAAGACCCATCGATCACGCCAAACCGGATCGGTGGGCGAATATTGCTCAATTAAAGAAATATTGTCATAGTCAAGAAGAGCAGTTACACACAAGGAAACCCAAGACAATTAGGGAACCGGAAACTATAACGGAAATTCACATACCCATCCCGGAACCATGTCACCATCAACAGCGCAACAGCGACACACAAAGGGAGGAAACCGGCAACAAGGAGGATCCCGGTCCCTCCAAAAGCAGAGAGACAGTAGACCATCAGATAAGTGGTCCGCGGAGAAGTTTGAGAAACAGAAAGAATACGAAATTTTTTGTCAGCAACCATCAATTCTTTCATGGTCGCGCTGGTATGAAAACAGACTGTTCAAAAAGTCATAAAAGTGAACTGGTGAAGGCACCAAACGAAAAAAGGTGGATGTGAATTCTAGAACTGTTTTGTGTCTGAGGAATATGATGTAGACACATTTGATATGTGAAAGAGGGATAACTGTCAATCTTATACGAATGTGACGACATTGACAGTGAGTGGAACAATGGATTTTTTTTTACGGTGGTGCGATGGACTTTGAAGGACTGCGCCTGCCAAGCGTTGTTTGTGGTTGATAACACACAAAAAAAGGCAGGGGTGGATGTAACTAGGGGAAGTTACCAAGAGACATAACGTGTTACAGTCTGACGTCACAGTGCAGGTGTTGGCTGATGCCAAGGCGTAATATCTCGGGAAGCGATACGAAAGACGGTCTGTCAACTTTGATGTGACAGGATGCAGGTGGCTTATTAAAATCGGACTGTACGACAGAAGCGGCGTAATTAACAGTCTGATGTAACGATTAGAATCGATTACAATTACGATTATGATAGGACCGAATATGAGTACGATTATGAAGGGGATATAAGGAAGGCGACGGCTGAGCTCGAGGTCTCAGAAGGTCTCAGAAGGTCTCAGAAAGTCGGTCTGTCTCTCAGAAGGTCTGTCAGTCAGTCCGTCAGTCTCTCTCTCTCAGTGAGTCTGTGTGGCAGTATCCAGTTGGTTATATTGTGTTAAGAAGGACGTTAGACATGTGTATTCAGTTAGATGAAGCCTAGTGAGGACTGTTGGGGGTCCGTTGATTCAGACTATTATTGTGAAACATCTCTCTTGATTCAATATATTATTGTGAAACATTCTTTGATTCATGTAATAAAAGGATCAATAATGAACCTGCATCTTCGAGTATCTATGCTGTGGTCAATGTTGTGTGGAATGAGTGGTTAGACTCGGGAAGGTCACATTTGGCGTTGTCGGCAGGGTAGTCAGAGACTCGTTACATTTGGCGTTGTCGGCAGGATAGACTCGGGGACTCGTTACATATATATATATATATATATATATATATATATATATATATATATATATATATATATATATATATATATATATATATAACACGCTATCATTCGTGTATTTATTTGAGACGTTTGCCTTGTTTTCTAGAACAGTGGTTATTAAACGTAAACAATGTCGGCACTTTATTTCTTGGATATTAGTTGTTGGAGCGTTAGCTTGTCTACACTACCACCAATACGAGCCAGCTTAGTTGTTGAGGCGCTATCTATTCGCTTCTTGTAAGGCTAGGAGCGGGAGGGGAGGCCTCAGAAAGGAACTTAAAAGGGACAACAAAGCACTGATGTGCTTTTATCCATCAGTACCAAATTTGGGATGGTCTCAAAAAGCCGTCTTAATATCTAGCGGCCTCTCGCGCAATTGATGTTTTTTCAAAAGAATTTGCCGACAACAGCGTGTGTTTGATTGTAGGAAAAAGAATATACAAGAGCGTGGGATGGTGTCTATAGAATAAATATACTCCAACCGCAGCTACAGTATTCTTTTTTCAAAACAACCATCAGGTCAAAAAAGAAAATTAATTTTAACTATAAAAAAATGATTATGGGCGGCTGTGGGCCCCCTAAACGGCGTGGGCCCCCCCGCATTGCGGGGTCTGGCGGCACTGTAGTTCCGCCCCTGAGTTCTTAGGCAGGGGCCTAGCTAAAGAAGATAAGTAAAAAAAAAAATTCATAAAAAACGTTTTAATAACAAGCTTTTATGTAATGATGCACTAAAAAGTAGAAAATAAATTATAGACTACTATTTAAATAACTATAAAGAAAAGCGTGGGTCACTTCAGTATCTATTGGATACCTTTACTAATGTTAAGGAAGACACCTACGCTTTTCTTTATAGTTATTTAAATAGTAGTCTATAATTTATTTTCTACTTTTTAGTGCATCATTACATAAAAGCTTGTTATTAAAACGTTTTTTATGAATTTTTTTTCAGTACTTTACATGTTTTATTTACAATAGAGTTACATGACTAAAAACCATTGCGCGCCTACTGAACATCACGTTCAGTAGGCGCGCAATGGTTTTTGAACGCAGCCATTACGTGATGGCGCAGCTATTGAAGGTGATGACGCGTGTGGTGTGGTTGGCTAGACATGCCTACTAATTCGGTCCAAATTTTAATTAATTCATAAAAAATTAATTAGGCATCCAATTAAGTCAAATTTAGTTTCAGATTGCATTGTCTTCATGTCTTGACCCACGTGCCAACTGTGAATCGTATCTGTCAAGTAGAACTGTCCGAATGTTCACTCCTGCGTTTCCGTCTAGACAGACAGACAGAGGAAGTGAGTTAAATAAAAGCTTGTAATAACAAGGGGTTTCTTTTTACTGCTGCACTGCAGGGGAATCTACTCTAAAAAAATGTTAAAAATGGCGGGTTAAAATCGTATGTTAAATGTTTTTTATTTATGTTAGATCTAGACTCTAGATCTAGTATAATAAATAAATAATGTGGATTATTTTAGATAATAATGTTTGAGTCGTTTTTTAACAAATTATGTATTAGTTACATTAGTATTACAGTATTATTACAAATTCAGAAAATATAGTTTAATATACAGATACTACTACTCTAGTCTAGACTAGAGGCTAGGTCTAATCTAGATTATGAGGTACCTATTCTAGTTCAGTAAACATAATAACTTTCGGAAATCTAGATCTATCATTTTTTTATGACTTAGGTAATAAGGTAGGCCTACGTAAAATCGTCCAAGACTAGTAATGTAAAAAAAGTGACACATTTTAGTAATTATTTCAGTTTATTTCACATTTTTACAAGGATTTATGTTTTGAAAGTTACAAAAATATTTTAAATATTGCAAAGTTTCATTCATGTACTCTGTACCTGTTTTTAAACAATTGTATTAAAGCTTTTCAGTAATAAATAAAGAGTAGCCATGTTTTCATCAGATGCCACCAAGTTCATTTAGACATTTACTTTAGCAGCCATAATTAATTTTGTTTTTTGTTAAATTATAGTTAGAGATGTGATGCAGGGGAAACCACTCTAATTTACAGATGGTCTCTTTTTATAAAGCAAATCTTGCTCGCAAACACTGCTGTTACAGTTGATTTCTGGCTTATATTGATATATTTATTATTTAGCCATTGATTTTTGTTTATTATTCAGTTATCTATAATATTTGACACAAATATATCACAACATATTTCTATTAAAGCCTTAACAATGAGGCAACTTTTTTTCACATTACTTATTACTAGCCTTGGCTAATTTTATGCACCTAAAATGATAGTGGAAAGTTACCAAAATGTGTTTGACTTGTTATAGTTATAGATAGTGGAAAGTTACCAAAATGTGTTTGACTTGTTATAGATAGTGGAAAGTTACCAAAATGTGTTTGACTTGTTATAGATAGTGGAAAGTTACCAAAATGTGTTTGACTTGTTATGGATAGTGGAAAGTTACCAAAATGTGTTTGACTTGTTATGGATAGTGGAAAGTTACCAAAATGTGTTTGACTTGTTATAGATAGTGGAAAGTTACCAAAATGTGTTTGACTTGTTATAGATAGTGGAAAGTTACCAAAATGTGTTTGACTTGTTATAGATAGTGGAAAGTTACCAAAATGTGTTTGACTTGTTATAGATAGTGGAAAGTTACCAAAATGTGTTTGACTTGTTATAGATAGTGGAAAGTTACCAAAATGTGTTTGACTTGTTATAGATAGTGGAAAGTTACCAAAATGTGTTTGACTTGTTATAGATAGTGGAAAGTTACCAAAATGTGTTTGACTTGTTATAGATAGTGGAAAGTTACCAAAATGTGTTTGACTTGTTATAGATAATGGAAAGTTACCAAAATGTGTTTGACTTGTTATATATAGTGGAAAGTTACCAAAATGTGTTTGACTTGTTATAGATAGTGGAAAGTTACCAAAATGTGTTTGACTTGTTATAGATAATGGAAAGTTACCAAAATGTGTTTGACTTGTTATAGATAGTGGAAAGTTACCAAAATGTGTTTGACTTGTTATTTTAAAAGTTGTAAAAAATCTGGCCTCAGGCCACCAAGGGGTCACCCATAAATGACGTCACACTCGTAGGGGGGGGGGGTCCATAATGTTGTGATGATGTGTGATGAGGGGGGGGGGTTCAGATGTTGCGACGTCACACTTTGCATTATAAAAAAGCAATGTTAGAAAACGAATTTTAGATGTCATTTCGCGTTTTAGATAACTGTTTTAATAAATTGTAATAGTTTAGACAAGATTTAAGAAAAATATCGATGTTTTAAAAAAATTCAACTGCAATTTTGAGGGGGGTTGTAGGTTGAGGTGTGACGTCATTTTAGGGGGGGGGTCTGGCTTTTTGTAAGGACGTGTGTCGGAGGGGGGGGGGGGTAAAAATCGTCAAAAAAACCAATACGTCATTTATGGATGACCCCCAACTAAAGAAATATTTTAACCTAATCATCTAGACATTAGTCTAATTATTTATGCTTAATTATCCGTCTTTCCCCAGATTAAATGATGTGTAAATGGATTAAGTTTGTTGCCTAGTAGAAATGCCGTCCCATTTGTCTACTCAGAGGGCTGAAGATGAGAGCCATTACCTACTTGTGGCCAAACTGGATAACGCCCGCAATGTTTCAACAATACTCAAGTCCATCCATTTTAAAGAAGTGAGCTGTTCTCCTTATATTGCTGTTCTCCTTATATTGCTGTTCTCCTTATATTGCTGTTCTCCTTATATTGCTGTTCTCCTTATATTGCTGTTCTCCTTATATTGCTGTTCTCCTTATATTGCTGTTCTCCTTATATTGCTGTTCTCCTTATATTGCTGTTCTCCTTATATTGCTGTTCTCCTTATATTGCTGTTCTCCTTATATTGCTGTTCTCCTTATATTGCTGTTCTCCTTATATTGCTGTTCTCCTTATATTGCTGTTCTCCTTATATTGCTGTTCTCCTTATATTGCTGTTCTCCTTATATTGCTGTTCTCCTTATATTGCTGTTCTCCTTATATTGCTGTTCTCCTTATATTGCTGTTCTTCTTATATTGCTGTTCTCCTTATATTGCTGTTCTCCTTATATTGCTGTTCTCCTTATATTGCTGTTCTCCTTATATTGCTGTTCTCCTTATATTGCTGTTCTCCTTATATTGCTGTTCTCCTTATATTGCTGTTCTCCTTATATTGCTGTTCTTCTTATATTGCTGTTCTCCTTATATTGCTGTTCTCCTTATATTGCTGTTCTCCTTATATTGCTGTTCTCCTTATATTGCTGTTCTCCTTATATTGCTGTTCTCCTTATATTGCTGTTCTCCTTATATTGCTGTTCTCCTTATATTGCTGTTCTTCTTATATTTTCAATCACTAGGCCCTACTTAGTTTAGGCTAACCATTGGAAAAATAAAAAAGTTTATTTGTAACCTTTAAAGGTATGAAAAGTTTTATAAAGATTTTTGTCTTTATAAAATTAATAAAACTAGGGCAGGCGACTGTTCATTAACTCTTTTGTTACTAATGTCAGATTTTTCCATTTATGTTTTGGACTAGACAAAAAATCCTAATGATTAATCTCATTTATGGCACTTAAAACATTAGCTAAAGCATAATTTTTTTTACCCGTTGTCACAATTTATTCTCCCTAAAACGCTGACTAAATCAGATGATAATTTTGTCAGACAGCTACTGTGTTTGCCAGTCCGCTGGGCCTGAAAGTCACAGTGGAGGATTCCAAATGTGTACAAGCCAACGCTTTCATCCAGGAGAGCATCTTCCATTTCTACAGCATTAAAGCAGATCAGTTGGCATTTAAAATCAACCTCACAGTTTTACTGGTAAGGGGGTCATACATCTTACATTACTACAGAAATGTGGGCCTTAGACATATGTGATGTGTTACCAGAAGGTGAACAGAAGAGGGGGGGGGTTGTAAAAAGTGACATTAGATTTGTGTTTTAACAAAAGTTTTCAAAATGAATTGTAGAAGTCATTTCACTTTCACATTTTTAAGTTTTCTAAATTTAATTTTTATACAATTGATCAATAATTGTAACCAAATATAACAAAAATATGTTAAAAAGAAATGACTGTTTCTGGTATTTAGCCATTTGCTGGTGGGGTTGATACGTTGGATGTGATATTTCCAGAGGAGGTGGTGTGATTGGTGTATAGCATTAGGAGCAAAATTTAAAATGGTGAAAAAAGTGTTGAAAAATATATTGTGTGTGGTTAAAGGAATGACCATTTTCTGACCCCTAATGTTGATGAATGTTTGACCATTTACTGACCCCTAATGTTGATGAATGTTTGACCATTTAATGACCCTTAATGTTGATGAATGTTTGACCATTTAATGACCCCTAATGTTGATGAATGTTTGACCATTTAATGACCCCTAATGTTGATGAATGTTTAACCATTTACTGACCCCTAATGTTGATGAATGTTTGACCATTTACTGACCCCTAATGTTGGTGACAGGAGTGTCTGACCATATTTGGCAGCAGTGTAATCCCTGGAGTCAGCACAAGTCTCAAGATGTGTTACGCTGGTTACGGCTGTCCACTCATTCTTATGTAAGTTTTTTGTTACGCTGGTTACGGCTGTCCACTCATTCTTATGTAAGTTTTTTGTTACGCTGGTTACGGCTGTCCACTCATTCTTATGTAAGTTTTTTGTTACGCTGGTTACGGCTGTCCACTCATTCTTATGTAAGTTTTTTGTTACGCTGGTTACGGCTGTCCACTCATTCTTATGTAAGTTTTTTGTTACGCTGGTTACGGCTGTCCACTCATTCTTATGTAAGTTTTTTGTTACGCTGGTTACGGCTGTCCACTCATTCTTATGTAAGTTTTTTGTTACGCTGGTTACGGCTGTCCACTCATTCTTATGTAAGTTTTTTGTTACGCTGGTTACGGCTGTCCACTCATTCTTATGTAAGTTTTTTGTTACGCTGGTTACGGCTGTCCACTCATTCTTATGTAAGTTTTTTGTTACGCTGGTTACGGCTGTCCACTCATTCTTATGTAAGTTTTTTGTTACGCTGGTTACGGCTGTCCACTCATTCTTATGTAAGTTTTTTGTTACGCTGGTTACGGCTGTCCACTCATTCTTATGTAAGTTTTTTGTTACGCTGGTTACGGCTGTCCACTCATTCTTATGTAAGTTTTTTGTTACGCTGGTTACGGCTGTCCACTCATTCTTATGTAAGTTTTTTGTTACGCTGGTTACGGCTGTCCACTCATTCTTATGTAAGTTTTTTGTTACGCTGGTTACGGCTGTCCACTCATTCTTATGTAAGTTTTTTGTTACGCTGGTTACGGCTGTCCACTCATTCTTATGTAAGTTTTTTGTTACGCTGGTTACGGCTGTCCACTCATTCTTATGTAAGTTTTTTGTTACGCTGGTTACGGCTGTCCACTCATTCTTATGTAAGTTTTTTGTTACGCTGGTTACGGCTGTCCACTCATTCTTATGTAAGTTTTTTGTTACGCTGGTTACGGCTGTCCACTCATTCTTATGTAAGTTTTTTGTTACGCTGGTTACGGCTGTCCACTCATTCTTATGTAAGTTTTTTGTTACGCTGGTTACGGCTGTCCACTCATTCTTATGTAAGTTTTTTGTTACGCTGGTTACGGCTGTCCACTCATTCTTATGTAAGTTTTTTGTTACGCTGGTTACGGCTGTCCACTCATTCTTATGTAAGTTTTTTGTTACGCTGGTTACGGCTGTCCACTCATTCTTATGTAAGTTTTTTGTTACGCTGGTTACGGCTGTCCACTCATTCTTATGTAAGTTTTTTGTTACGCTGGTTACGGCTGTCCACTCATTCTTATGTAAGTTTTTTGTTACGCTGGTTACGGCTGTCCACTCATTCTTATGTAAGTTTTTTGTTACGCTGGTTACGGCTGTCCACTCATTCTTATGTAAGTTTTTTGTTACGCTGGTTACGGCTGTCCACTCATTCTTATGTAAGTTTTTTGTTACGCTGGTTACGGCTGTCCACTCATTCTTATGTAAGTTTTTTGTTACGCTGGTTACGGCTGTCCACTCATTCTTATGTAAGTTTTTTGTTACGCTGGTTACGGCTGTCCACTCATTCTTATGTAAGTTTTTTGTTACGCTGGTTACGGCTGTCCACTCATTCTTATGTAAGTTTTTTGTTACGCTGGTTACGGCTGTCCACTCATTCTTATGTAAGTTTTTTGTTACGCTGGTTACGGCTGTCCACTCATTCTTATGTAAGTTTTTTGTTACGCTGGTTACGGCTGTCCACTCATTCTTATGTAAGTTTTTTGTTACGCTGGTTACGGCTGTCCACTCATTCTTATGTAAGTTTTTTGTTACGCTGGTTACGGCTGTCCACTCATTCTTATGTAAGTTTTTTGTTACGCTGGTTACGGCTGTCCACTCATTCTTATGTAAGTTTTTTGTTACGCTGGTTACGGCTGTCCACTCATTCTTATGTAAGTTTTTTGTTACGCTGGTTACGGCTGTCCACTCATTCTTATGTAAGTTTTTTGTTACGCTGGTTACGGCTGTCCACTCATTCTTATGTAAGTTTTTTGTTACGCTGGTTACGGCTGTCCACTCATTCTTATGTAAGTTTTTTGTTACGCTGGTTACGGCTGTCCACTCATTCTTATGTAAGTTTTTTGTTACGCTGGTTACGGCTGTCCACTCATTCTTATGTAAGTTTTTTGTTACGCTGGTTACGGCTGTCCACTCATTCTTATGTAAGTTTTTTGTTACGCTGGTTACGGCTGTCCACTCATTCTTATGTAAGTTTTTTGTTACGCTGGTTACGGCTGTCCACTCATTCTTATGTAAGTTTTTTGTTACGCTGGTTACGGCTGTCCACTCATTCTTATGTAAGTTTTTTGTTACGCTGGTTACGGCTGTCCACTCATTCTTATGTAAGTTTTTTGTTACGCTGGTTACGGCTGTCCACTCATTCTTATGTAAGTTTTTTGTTACGCTGGTTACGGCTGTCCACTCATTCTTATGTAAGTTTTTTGTTACGCTGGTTACGGCTGTCCACTCATTCTTATGTAAGTTTTTTGTTACGCTGGTTACGGCTGTCCACTCATTCTTATGTAAGTTTTTTGTTACGCTGGTTACGGCTGTCCACTCATTCTTATGTAAGTTTTTTGTTACGCTGGTTACGGCTGTCCACTCATTCTTATGTAAGTTTTTTGTTACGCTGGTTACGGCTGTCCACTCATTCTTATGTAAGTTTTTTGTTACGCTGGTTACGGCTGTCCACTCATTCTTATGTAAGTTTTTTGTTACGCTGGTTACGGCTGTCCACTCATTCTTATGTAAGTTTTTTGTTACGCTGGTTACGGCTGTCCACTCATTCTTATGTAAGTTTTTTGTTACGCTGGTTACGGCTGTCCACTCATTCTTATGTAAGTTTTTTGTTACGCTGGTTACGGCTGTCCACTCATTCTTATGTAAGTTTTTTGTTACGCTGGTTACGGCTGTCCACTCATTCTTATGTAAGTTTTTTGTTACGCTGGTTACGGCTGTCCACTCATTCTTATGTAAGTTTTTTGTTACGCTGGTTACGGCTGTCCACTCATTCTTATGTAAGTTTTTTGTTACGCTGGTTACGGCTGTCCACTCATTCTTATGTAAGTTTTTTGTTACGCTGGTTACGGCTGTCCACTCATTCTTATGTAAGTTTTTTGTTACGCTGGTTACGGCTGTCCACTCATTCTTATGTAAGTTTTTTGTTACGCTGGTTACGGCTGTCCACTCATTCTTATGTAAGTTTTTTGTTACGCTGGTTACGGCTGTCCACTCATTCTTATGTAAGTTTTTTGTTACGCTGGTTACGGCTGTCCACTCATTCTTATGTAAGTTTTTTGTTACGCTGGTTACGGCTGTCCACTCATTCTTATGTAAGTTTTTTGTTACGCTGGTTACGGCTGTCCACTCATTCTTATGTAAGTTTTTTGTTACGCTGGTTACGGCTGTCCACTCATTCTTATGTAAGTTTTTTGTTACGCTGGTTACGGCTGTCCACTCATTCTTATGTAAGTTTTTTGTTACGCTGGTTACGGCTGTCCACTCATTCTTATGTAAGTTTTTTGTTACGCTGGTTACGGCTGTCCACTCATTCTTATGTAAGTTTTTTGTTACGCTGGTTACGGCTGTCCACTCATTCTTATGTAAGTTTTTTGTTACGCTGGTTACGGCTGTCCACTCATTCTTATGTAAGTTTTTTGTTACGCTGGTTACGGCTGTCCACTCATTCTTATGTAAGTTTTTTGTTACGCTGGTTACGGCTGTCCACTCATTCTTATGTAAGTTTTTTGTTACGCTGGTTACGGCTGTCCACTCATTCTTATGTAAGTTTTTTGTTACGCTGGTTACGGCTGTCCACTCATTCTTATGTAAGTTTTTTGTTACGCTGGTTACGGCTGTCCACTCATTCTTATGTAAGTTTTTTGTTACGCTGGTTACGGCTGTCCACTCATTCTTATGTAAGTTTTTTGTTACGCTGGTTACGGCTGTCCACTCATTCTTATGTAAGTTTTTTGTTACGCTGGTTACGGCTGTCCACTCATTCTTATGTAAGTTTTTTTTGTGGCAGTCATTTTTATTTGGATCCTAACTCTAGCTGTCCACTTGAAAACTTGACAACTCTAGCTGTCCACTTGAAAACTTGACAACTCTAGCTGTCCACTTGAAAACTTGACAACTCTAGCTGTCCACTTGAAAACTTGACAACTCTAGCTGTCCATTTGAAAACTTGACAACTCTAGCTGTCCACTTGAAAACTTGACAACTCTAGCTGTCCACTTGAAAACTTGACAACTCTAGCGGTCCACTTGAAAACTTGACAACTCTAGCTGTCCACTTGAAAACTTGACAACTCTAGCGGCCCACTTGAAATGTTGACGTAGGCTTATAAATGTCACATTGTGTACATAGGCTTATAAATGTCACATTGTGTACGTAGGCTTATGAATGTCACATTATGTCCGTAGGCTTGAAGAAGACGGTGTACTCACAGACTGCAGCATCAAGACTCTGGAGCCAGATGAGGTTCTAGACTTTGATTTTTGCAGTGCCAATGTTGTCAATAAAATTATCATGAAGGTAAAGTTTAGGTTTTTACGACAAAATTTACGAATAGATTAATTCTATTTTTAAAGTCTGTTATATTAAAAGATAGATCTTTGTGATTTGTTGAACTGAGTGAATAGATTTTTGTGATTTGTTGAACTGAGTGAATAGATTTTTGTGATTTGTTGAAGTGAATAGATGTTTGTGATTTGTTGAAGTGAATAGATCTTTGTGATTTGTTGGAGTGAATAGATCTTTGTGATTTGTTGGAGTGAATAGATCTTTGTGATTTGTTGAACAGAGTGAATAGATCTTTGTGATTTGTTGAACAGAGTGAATATATCTTTGTGATTTGTTGGAGTGAATATATCTTTGTGTTTGTTGGAGTGAATATATCTTTGTGATTTGTTGAAGTGAATATATCTTTGTGATTTGCTGGAGTGAATATATCTTTGTGATTTGTTGGAGTGAATATATCTTTGTGATTTGTTGAAGTGAATATATCTTTGTGATTTGTTGGAGTGAATATATCTTTGTGATTTGTTGAAGTGAATATATCTTTGTGATTTGTTGAAGTGAATATATCTTTGTGATTTGTTGAACAGAGTGAATAGATCTTTGTGATTTGTTGAACAGAGTGAATAGATCTTTGTGATTTGTTGAACAGAGTGAATATATCTTTGTGATTTGTTGACCAGAGTGAATAGATCTTTGTGATTTGTTGAAGTGAATATATCTTTGTGATTTGTTGAAGTGAATATATCTTTGTGATTTGTTGAACAGAGTGAATAGATCTTTGTGATTTGTTGAACAGAGTGAATAGATCTTTGCGATTTGTTGAACAGAGTGAATATATCTTTGTGATTTGTTGACCAGAGTGAATAGATCTTTGTGATTTGTTGAAGTGAATATATCTTTGTGATTTGTTGACCAGAGTGAATAGATCTTTGTGATTTGTTGAACAGAGTGAATAGATCTTTGTGATTTGTTGAACAGAGTGAATAGATCTTTGCGATTTGTTGAACAGAGTGAATATATCTTTGTGATTTGTTGACCAGAGTGAATAGATCTTTGTGATTTGTTGAAGTGAATATATCTTTGTGATTTGTTGACCAGAGTGAATATATCTTTGTGATTTGTTGACCAGAGTGAATAGATCTTTGTGATTTGTTGAAGTGAATATATCTTTGTGATTTGTTGACCAGAGTGAATAGATCTTTGTGATTTGTTGAAGTGAATATATCTTTGTGATTTGTTGACCAGAGTGAATAGATCTTTGTGATTTGTTGAACAGAGTGAATAGATCTTTGCGATTTGTTGAACAGAGTGAATATATCTTTGTGATTTGTTGACCAGAGTGAATAGATCTTTGTGATTTGTTGAAGTGAATATATCTTTGTGATTTGTTGACCAGAGTGAATATATCTTTGTGATTTGTTGACCAGAGTGAATAGATCTTTGTGATTTGTTGAAGTGAATATATCTTTGTGATTTGTTGACCAGAGTGAATAGATCTTTGTGATTTGTTGACCAGAGTGAATAGATCTTTGTGATTTGTTGAACAGAGTGAATAGATCTTTGTGATTTGTTGAACAGAGTGAATAGATCTTTGTGATTTGTTGAACAGAGTGAGAGCCTGAAGGAGGTCTTCAGTGACCTTGACACCACCAGTGAAGTCCTGCAGGTCCTCATGTCACCAGACCAGCCGTTCCTGCAGTTTTCTACTTTTGGCAATGCTGGCAGCACACACGTAAGTCCACTCACACACAAGCCCACTCACACACAAGTCCACTCACACACAAGCCCACTCACACACAAGTCCACTCACACACAAGTCCACTCACACGCAAGCCCACTCACACACAAGTCCACTCACACACAAGCCCACTCACATGTAAGTCCACTCACACACGAGCCCACTCACACGTTAGTCCACTCACACACGAGCCCACTCACACGTAAGTCCACCCACACACGAGCCCACCCACCCGTGTGTGTGGCATATGTAAGCCCATCCCCCACCCCCAAATTTGTTTGGACTAATTAGGAAATGAGTGAATTGGACGAACTTAAAAATGTAACTAAGAAAAGCAAATGCTTTACCCAACCGGTTGGTGATAAATGACAATTTGATTTATTTCAGTCATCATTTCCAAAAGATTCTGAGATGGTTGAATCCTTCATGTGTTCTCAAACACAGACCAACAGGTAGGTTTTAGTTTGACCAGACCAACAGGTAGGTTTTAGTTTGACCAGACCAACAGGTAGGTTTTAGTTTGATCAGACCAACAGGTAGGTTTTAGTTTGACCAGACCAACAGGTAGGTTTTAGTTTGACCAGACCAACAGGTAGGTTTTAGTTTGACCAGACCAACTGGTAGGTTTTAGTTTGACCAGACCAACAGGTAGGTTTTAGTTTGACCAGACCAACAGGTAGGTTTTAGTTTGATCAGACGAACAGGTAGGTTTTAGTTTGACCAGAACAACAGGTAGGTTTTAGTTTGACCAGACCAACAGGTAGGTTTTAGTTTGACCAGACCAACAGGTAGGTTTTAGTTTGACCAGACCAATAGGTAGGTTTTAGTTTGACCAGACCAACAGGTAGGTTTTAGTTTGACCAGACCAACAGGTAGGTTTTAGTTTGACCAGAACAACAGGTAGGTTTTAGTTTGACCAGACCAACAGGTAAGTTTTAGTTTGATCAGACCAGACCAACAGGTAGGTTTTAGTTTGATCAGACCAACAGGTAGGTTTTTGTTTGACCAGACCAACAGGTAGGTTTTAGTTTGATCAGACCAACAGGTAGGTTTTAGTTTGACCAGACCAACAGGGAGGTTTTAGTTTGACCAGACCAATAGGTAGGTTTTAGTTTGACCAGACCAACAGGTAGGTTTTAGTTTGATCAGACCAACAGGTAGGTTTTAGTTTGACCAGAACAACAGGTAGGTTTTAGTTTGACCAGACCAACAGGTAGGTTTTAGTTTGACCAGACCAACAGGTAGGTTTTAGTTTGACCAGACCAATAGGTAGGTTTTAGTTTGACCAGACCAACTGGTAGGTTTTAGTTTGACCAGACCAACAGGTAGGTTTTAGTTTGACCAGACCAACAGGTAGGTTTTAGTTTGATCAGACCAACAGGTAGGTTTTAGTTTGACCAGACCAACTGGTAGGTTTTAGTTTGACCAGACCAACAGGTAGGTTTTAGTTTGACCAGACCAACAGGTAGGTTTTAGTTTGATCAGACCAACAGGTAGGTTTTAGTTTGACCAGAACAACAGGTAGGTTTTAGTTTGACCAGACCAACAGGTAGGTTTTAGTTTGACCAGACCAACAGGTAGGTTTTAGTTTGACCAGACCAATAGGTAGGTTTTAGTTTGACCAGACCAACAGGTAGGTTTTAGTTTGACCAGACCAACAGGTAGGTTTTAGTTTGACCAGAACAACAGGTAGGTTTTAGTTTGACCAGACCAACAGGTAAGTTTTAGTTTGATCAGACCAGACCAACAGGTAGGTTTTAGTTTGATCAGACCAACAGGTAGGTTTTTGTTTGACCAGACCAACAGGTAGGTTTTAGTTTGATCAGACCAACAGGTAGGTTTTAGTTTGACCAGACCAACAGGGAGGTTTTACTTTGACCAGACCAATAGGTAGGTTTTAGTTTGACCAGACCAACAGGTAGGTTTTAGTTTGACCAGACCAACAGGTAGGTTTTAGTTTGACCAGACCAACAGGTAGGTTTTAGTTTGATCAGACCAACAGGTAGGTTTTAGTTTGACCAGACCAACAGGTAGGTTTTAGTTTGACCAGACCAATAGGTAGGTTTTAGTTTGAACAGACCAACAGGTAGGTTTTAGTTTGACCAGACCAACAGGTAGGTTTTAGTTTGATCAGACCAGACCAACAGGTAGGTTTTAGTTTGATCAGACCAGACCAACAGGTAGGTTTTTGTTTGACCAGACCAACAGGTAGGTTTTAGTTTGACTAGACCAACAGGTAGGTTTTAGTTTGACCAGACCAGACCAACAGGTAGATTTTAGTTTGATCAGACCAACAGGTAGGTTTTAGTTTGACCAGACCAACAGGTAGGTTTTAGTTTGACCAGACCAACAGGTAGGTTTTAGTTTGACCAGAACAACAGGTAGGTTTTAGTTTGACCAGACCAACAGGTAGGTTTTAGTTTGACCAGACCAACAGGTAGGTTTTAGTTTGACCAGACCAACAGGTAGGTTTTAGTTTGACCAGACCAACAGGTAGGTTTTAGTTTGATCAGACCAACAGGTAGGTTTTAGTTTGACCAGACCAACAGGTAGGTTTTAGTTTGACCAGACCAACAGGTAGGTTTTAGTTTGACCAGACCAACAGGTAGGTTTTAGTTTGACCAGACCAACAGGTAGGTTTTAGTTTGATCAGACCAACAGGTAGGTTTTAGTTTGACCAGAACAACAGGTAGGTTTTAGTTTGACCAGACCAACAGGTAGGTTTTAGTTTGACCAGACCAACAGGTAGGTTTTAGTTTGACCAGAACAACAGGTAGGTTTTAGTTAGACCAGACCAACAGGTAAGTTTTAGTTTGATCAGACCAGACCAACAGGTAGGTTTTAGTTTGATCAGACCAACAGGTAGGTTTTTGTTTGACCAGACCTACAGGTAGGTTTTAGTTTGACCAGACCAACAGGTAGGTTTTAGTTTGACCAGACCAACAGGTAGGTTTTAGTTTGACCAGACCAACAGGTAGGTTTTAGTTTGACCAGACCAACAGGTAGGTTTTAGTTTGATCAGACCAACAGGTAGGTTTTAGTTTGACCAGACCAACAGGTAGGTTTTAGTTTGACCAGACCAACAGGTAGGTTTTAGTTTGATCAGACCAACAGGTAGGTTTTAGTTTGACCAGACCAACATGTAGGTTTTAGTTTGACCAGACCAACAGGTAGGTTTTAGTTTGATCAGACCAACAGGTAGGTTTTAGTTTGACCAGACCAACAGGTAGGTTTTAGTTTGATCAGACCAGACCAACAGGTAGGTTTTAGTTTGATCAGACCAACAGGTAGGTTTTAGTTTGACCAGACCAACAGGTAGGTTTTAGTTTGACCAGACCAACAGGAAGGTTTTAGTTTGACTAGACCAACAGGTAGGTTTAAGGGCACAGCAATTGGCATTATGACAGCAGTCTTTAGCTGTCTTCTCTGCCAGAATTGACCATCAGTTTTTGCTTGTCAGATACAAAATCAATCTACTGAAACCATCATTTATTGCTTGTCAGATACAAAATCAATCTACTGAAACCATCAGTTTTTGCTTGTCAGATACAAAATCAATCTACTGAAACCATTAGTTTTTGCTTGTCAGATACAAAATCAATCTACTGAAACCATCATTTATTGCTTGTCAGATACAAAATCAATCTACTGAAACCATTAGTTTTTGCTTGTCAGATACAAAATCAATCTACTGAAACCATCATTTATTGCTTGTCAGATACAAAATCAATCTACTGAAACCATCATTATTGCTTGTCAGATACAAAATCAATCTACTGAAACCATCAGTTTTTGCTTGTCAGATACAAAATCAATCTACTGAAACCATCATTTATTGCTTGTCAGATACAAAATCAATCTACTGAAACCATCATTTATTGCTTGTCAGAAACAAAATCAATCTACTGAAACCATCAGTTTTTGCTTGTCAGATACAAAATCAATCTACTGAAACCATCAGTTTTTGCTTGTCAGATACAAAATCAATCTACTGAAACCGTCGGTCAAAGCCCTGACCATCTCCACCAGGATTTCCATCAGAACAGACACCAGAGGCTTCTTGTCCCTACAGTACATGATCAAGATAGAGGACGGACAAATTTGTTTTGTTGAGTTTTATGTAGGTATCTTTTTATTCCCACTTTTTCTTTCTTTCTTGAGCTGATGTTTTTAAATAAAACATTTATTTGAATGTAGCCTACTTTTGACAAGCTTTTCTTTCATTTGCTTCCTTGTGCATTGTCACATGGATAGAAACTGTAGAGTGAAATTTCGACCTCTTCAAACAAAATTTTTTTAAACTTGGCTTGTGTGTCAAGACCTGATGACAATGCAAAATTGGCATCAAACTTTTTATAAAGTACTATTTACCACGTTATTTAACAGACATTTTCAGTGTTCATTTTTTGCTCAATTGTTTTTAGTCATGGGATTCTATAGTATTTTCATTTAATGTATAATCAGAGGCGTAGCGACCCTTCCCGGCGCCCGGGGACATACTTTCAATTTGGCGCCCCCCCCCCCCCCTCAGAGCAAATTTTCTATTTGCACCCCCCCCCCCCTCGAACTTTTCATTTGCACCCCCCCCCCCTCAAACTTTCAATTTGGCGCCACCCCTAAGGTCGGCGCCCGGGGACATATGTCCGTCCGTCCCCCCTCGCTACGCCTCTGTGTATAATAACGAACTACTATTTAAATAACTAAAAATAAAAGTGTGGTTCTCTAAGCATATACCTTTACTAAAATTTAAGAAGTGACCCACACTTTTCTTAATAGTTATTTAAACAGTCATGCATTACTATATATTTCATGAAAATCATTTATTTTCTCATTTTTAGTGCATAATTATGTGTAAGCTTGTTATCAACATGTTTTTTATGATTTTTTAAATTTTAGTGTGAACAAAATCGACACAACTTTCCATTCCACTCTTATATTGACTCTACTTTCTATTCTAGTGTGACTCTTATATTGACTCTACTTTCTATTCTAGTGTGACTCTTATATTGAAGTCTACTTTCTTTTCTAGTGTGACTCTTATATTGACTCTACTTTCTAGTCTAGTGTGACTCTTATATTGAAGTCTACTTTCTATTCTAGTGTGACTCTTATATGGGCTCTACTTTCTATTCTAGTGTGACTCTTATATTGACTCTACTTTCTATTCTAGTGTGACTCTTATATTGACTCTACTTTCTAGTCTAGTGTGACTCTTATATTGAAGTCTACTTTTTATTCTAGTGTGACTCTTATATGGGCTCTACTTTCTATTCTAGTGTGACTCTTATATTGACTCTACTTTCTATTCTAGTGTGACTCTTATATTGACTCTACTTTCTATTCTAGAGTGACTCTTATATTGACTCTACTTTCTATTCTAGTGTGACTCTTATATTGAAGTCTACTTTCTATTCTAGTGTGATTCTTATATTGACTCTACTTTCTATTCTAGTGTGACTCTTCTTGACTCTACTTTCTATTCTAGTGTGACTCTTATATTGACTCTACTTTCTATTCTAGTGTGACTCTTATATTGACTCTACTTTCCATTCTAGTGTGACTCTTATATTGACTCTACTTTCTATTCTAGTGTGCACCAGATGAGGAGCCCACTGAAGAGATAGACTCTTGAAGTCAAGACTCTTTTAAGTCAAGACTCTTGATGTCTCATTGTAAAAAATTGTTGTGTAAATAAAATTGTAATTTAAAAAAAATTTGTCAACAAAAATGTACAACTTCGTCTAAAGCCTGTGAGAGTTGATCGTGAAGTTAACCGTGTTGGTAGTTCACTTCATGGTGTGATTTGTGTTGGTAGTTCACTTGATGGTGTGATTTGATTGGTTTCAAATGTCAGTTCACTTCATGGTGTGATTTGATTGGTTTCAAATGTCAGTTCACTTCATGGTGTGATTTGATTGGTTTCAAATGTCAGTTCACTTCATGGTGTGATTTGATTGGTTTCAAATGTCAGTTCATTTCATGGTGTGATTTGATTGGTTTCAAATGTCAGTTCATTTCATGGTGTGATTTGATTAGTTTCAAATGTTAGTTCATTTCATGGTGTGATTTGATTGGTTGATAACACAACTTGTTTGGTTTGCACTCAAAGTTGCGACTTAGCAGACTAATAAAACCACAAAGATGCATTATTAGACCTAATTGGCTATGGATAATTAAAATAACTAATTTCTGTGTGAACCAAACACTCATGGATTCACTAGACCTAATTGTAAAAAAGTTCTTTAAAAAAATATATAATTGTCACATGGAGTTTTATTGGTTTAACAAGTTTAACATACCTGTGTAGAGGATAAGTAGAAAGCTGATTAATGCCTAAACTTCAAATATAGCTTTAAAAATATTATTTATAAGATTTAAAACATGTTGGTAGTATTATAAGTATCATGGAATGTAATCTAAAAACGTGGCTACAAATGATGCTGTGTGGATATGAGACTTACCCTGTAGTAGATAGTAAGGCAAGCCTGATTGTTTACATGATCCACACAAAATATTATAGCAACTCTAAAGTTTACAGAGAGCGAATAGCAACTCTAAAGTTTACAGAGAGCGAATAGCAACTCTAAAGTTTACAGCATAGAGAGCGAATAGCAACTCTAAAGTTTACAGCATAGAGAGCGAAAAAAAGAATTTAAAACAAAGAAATATTAAAAGCTGAGTTATTATCTTAATGAAACCATCTAAAGGTTCGGATATGATGAAATATATTGGACTGGTAAAAATAGTCTAAGCAACCTTCAAACGTACCAAATTTAAGAGCGTACATGTTAACAGTTAAATATGAAATAGGACCACCTACATTTAATCAAACTTACACACAGTTAAATATGAAATAGGACCACCAACATTTAATCAAACTTGCACACAGTTAAATATGAAATAAGACAACCTACATTTAATAAACGTACACATAAACAAATACAAAGATTACAAAAATTGCACTTTCATTCAATACTGAAAATATGAAAGATATTTGGGCGGTTGTAAAATGTGCAATACAATATCACAAGAAAAATTTTTAAAATCCCTTTCCCCCCCCCCCCCCCCCCAGCACATGAGTATTTTTGTGCTATAAAGCACTGAATTCAAAGTTTTATAACAGATGAATAAAACAGCTGTATTAGAAGAATGAACAATCTGGGGGACAAAAGTTTTATAACAAGTGAATAAAACAGCTGTATTAGAAGATTGAACAATCTGGTGGACCAAAGTTTTATAACAGATGAATAAAACAGCTGTATTAGAAGAATGAACATGGTGAACAATGAGGGTGACTAGTGCTGAACTTAGGACAGCCAAACAAATGCTAGAATACATTATACACATATTATTCTGATTATGTTCTAACTTCATTCTGTCATCAGTTCTAATTATTTTACTGATTTTATTTTACTGATTTTATTTTGAAATCCATGCGTAGCTAGAAAGTGGGGTGGGTCCAGAACAAAAAAGTCAACTTGGGAGGGAGGGGGGAAAGACTTATTAAAGAGCTGTATACAGCTACAAAAAATACAACATTGAATTTTGTGAGAACATATAAACTTGTGACTTTGGGGACTGGTCAATGGATGGCAAGGGGGCAAACATTATTAATGATGGACACATGATTAATAAGGGCATAATTTCAAATCAAATATTTAAAACGCATAACATGATTAATTATTACAGTCATACATATCAGAAGTGTGAAATCTTTGGAAGTTGTGAACTTTTTTTTTACAACAATTTTCTTCTCAATCTTGGGGGGGGGGGGGGGGGGTGCATTTGAAACTTCTTTGAAATTTTGAAATTTAATGGGGAGGGGAGGAGGTGAGTGAGCTTGGCAGTGCCCACAAAAGAGATGCCTGATTATGAACAACCCTGACGTAAATTAAATGTAATATTAAAATTTAAAACAAGCCTACAAGAAAATATTCAAAAGGTAAAAACAAAATAGCATCACTTTTGATTTAAAACAATTGTAAAAATACAACAATAATTTTTAAAAATATTCAGTATAAAATTTTTTCAAGCATGTATAGTAGTCAAAAATGTATAAATAACGAGTAAAAACAAATTAGCTAATGTAATAAGGGATAAAAAAAAGTTTAGCTAAACCATTTAAAACTGTTACAAAAAAAGTTTACCTAAACCATTTTAAACTGTTACAAAAAAAGTTTACCAAAACCATTTTAAACTTACAAAAAAAGTTTACCTAAACCATTTTAAACTGTTACAAAAAAAGTTTACCTAAACCATTTTAAACTGTTAAAAAAAAATTTAACCTAAACCATTTTAAACTTACAAAAAAGTTTACCTAAACCATTTTAAACTGTTACAAAAATAAACTCCAAGGGAAACTACTCAGAAGGGCGTACTTTGTTTTTATTCCCATAATCCAGTTCTGCTCCACCACTGACGTTGATATTGATGCCAGTGCAGAAGGTGGCGTCTGCTGCTAGGAACAAACAAACTAATCCACACTCTTCTACGGTGCCAAATCTTCCAATTAACTGCAGATTGAAATGATGAAACACTAAACAATTTAAAATACTTCATGTTGAACAAACACAACAATACAATTGTAAAATTGTAGCCAGTTGTAAAAGATCTACTTTTAGTTCAGGTCAACATCTGTACAGAATAGGTCCGTTTTAAGTCGAATTTGGGACAAAAAATATATCTAACTAGAAAAAAATAAAACTATACCTTTTTTGTAAACAAATTGAAAACCAATTATTTTATGAAAGAAGTATAAAAACATTTTATAGCAACAAGCTTTTAAATTAACTGAAAATAAGAATATAAAACTAATCTGCTTTCGTTCATAAAAGCTTTGGTAATTTATGAGATCTTTTACATATTTTAGAGACCAAAGCTTTTATGAAAGAAAGCAGATTATTAGTTTCATTTTCTAATTTTCACTGAATTTAAAAGCTTGTTGCTATAAAAAAAAAATTTTATCTTTGTTTTATTTTCTACTTTTTAGTGATTCCTAATATATGAAGTCAACATGACTAAAAATATTTGCTTGAAAACACCATCAGTAGCTCGCGATATCTATAAGACAATTACCTGGTGCTTAAAATTCAGCCGTCCATGACAAAATTTTACAGACGATAGTAATTCTTAATTATTCCTACCTCCCATAAGTTTCAACTAGTTTAAAAACTTTATTATCTGCCCCTAATAGCCTTCACTAGATTGACTGGCTCGACAATTGTACACATTCAGGGTAACCCACAGCTCAATAGACTGTTGGGGTGATTGCGTCTAGCAGTTAAAAGTGATTGTGTCTAGCTAGCTATCTCCACTTCTGTTATTGAATATAGTAATCTATCGAGTGATTTAATTTTGTTATTTCCTCTTAGTCTCAAAACTGTTAAATTAATTTTGAATGACTAATTAAACATCTAATTAAATTAAAAAGCAGATAGATTTGTATTGTCTTCAATGTGGAACATATCTGGAAAGTTTGAACGAAATCGCTGCATTAAAAGAGGGTCAAAATTGAGTTACAAGATTTTCCTCAAACCCACAAACAAACAGATGTGCGAACTAAATAAAAAGCTTCTCACCTGCGCATCTTCTCCATGTTTTCTACAGGTGTGATAGTCAGGGGATGCTAGGGCTGCCTGTTCCCATAGAGGTGTCCAGATATTGCCTGGGGCAAACCTGGTCATTTGAACAGAATGTTATCAAGGTAGTTTTAACAACATTTGTACAGAATGTTATCAAGGTAGTTTTAACAACATTTGTACAGAATGTTATCAAGGTAGTTTTAACAACATTTGTACAGAATGTTATCAAGGTAGTTTTAACAACATTTGGACAGAATGTTATCAAGGTAGTTTTAACATTTGTACAGAGTGTTATCAAGGTAGTTTTAACATTTGGACAGAATGTTATCAAGGTAGTTTTAACATTTGTACAGAGTGTTATCAAGGTAGTTTTAACATTTGAACAGAATATTATCAAGGTAGTTTTAACATTTGTACAGAATGTTATCAAGGTAGTTTTAACAACATTTGTACAGAATGTTATCAAGGTAGTTTTAACATTTGTACAGAATGTTATCAAGGTAGTTTTAACATTTGTACAGAATGTTATCAAGGTAGTTTTAACAACATTTGTACAGAATGTTATCAAGGTAGTTTTAACATTTGTACAGAATGTTATCAAGGTAGTTTTAACAACATTTGAACAGAATGTTATCAAGGTAGTTTTAACAACATTTGTACAGAATGTTATCAAGGTAGTTTTAACATTTGAACAGAATATTATCAAGGTAGTTTTAACAACATTTGTACAGAATGTTATCAAGGTAGTTTTAACATTTGAACAGAATATTATCAAGGTAGTTTTAACAACATTTGAACAGAATGTTATCAAGGTAGTTTTAACAACTAGTCAAATGACTGGTATCTACTAAACTTTGAGGAAAATATTTTTCCATATCACTTATTTAGGAACAAATATTGCTACAAATTGAATGTGAAGAGAGATTGACTTACGAGTTGACTCGTACGTTGTACTTTGCCTCATCAATAGCCAAAGCTTTGGTCATAGATGTGATTGCACCCTGGAACATTACAAGCTTTTACTTAGGTCATAGCGTCTTTTTGTTTGTGTAGTCAAATGTTGTCATTTGAGATAGAGCTCACGTAGAGTGACCTCTATAAGAGAAGTTGAGCTATTATTAAATGATCTGATAGAGGTCATATCACGCAAACAATTTTTAGACATGATAGGCATTGAACATAAACATGGACTACAATATCTGAATACTTTAAAGTAGAATAAAAAAGCTTTAATAGTAACAAGCTTTTAAATATGTTACCAATAAGAAAATAAAAATTAGCTGACAGCCTACTAGTAAAAAAAGCTTTTCTCAACATTTTGCAGACATTAAGTAATGAAGATGGTTCACAATATTAAGTTGACTGGGAATTGTTAGGAAAAAAAAAGTGAGTAGTTTACCTTGCTGGCTGCATAAGTTACAGCCCCTGGTTGACCTATATATGAGACTAGGCTGCTGTTGTTTATAATATTACCCTGTGTTTTCCTCAGGTATGGCAAGGCATACTGAAAATAATTAGAGGTCAAACTAGTTACAGATAAACTTGGCAAACAGTTCTATTAATATACAATATGATGGATAAAGTTTTGAAACAATTTTTTTTTTGTTGTTGTTGGTTTTATTTGAAAATAGATCTCAAAACATTTTTGACCTGATATTGTTTTAAGTTGAACAGCTGCCAGTTGGTAAGTTAAAACAAAGACCAGCTGCCAGTTGTTAAGTTAAAACAAAGACCAGCTGCCAGTTGTTAAGTTAAAACAAAGACCAGCTGCCAGTTGGTAAGTTAAAACAAAGACCAGCTGCCAGTTGGTAAGTTAAAACAAAGACCAGCTGCCAGTTGTTAAGTTAAAACAAAGACCAGCTGCCAGTTGTTAAGTTAAAACAAAGACCAGCTGCCAGTTGTTAAGTTATAACAAAGACAACTTACTTTTGAGGCTGAGAAGAAGCCCAAGACATTTATATCAAAGGTGCGTCTAAAGTCTTCACAGGAGAACCCATCAATGGACTTGTGTGGGGGGTCTGTGGTCAAACATATTTATTATGTGGAGGTCTGTGGTCAAACATATTTATTATGTAGGGGTCTGTGGTCAAACATATTTATTATGTGGGGGTCTGTGGTCAAACATATTTATTATGTGGGGGTCTGTGGTCAAACATATTTATTATGTGGGGGTCTGTGGTCAAAGATAATAATTATGTGGGCGCTTTGTCATCAAAAATTTATACCTGAAAACATTTTTTTTCCACAAACTATTTTTTAAAGCTTATCAAAATAGAAACTTGAAATGCACTATTAAAACTTACTCAAATAAATCATGAGTATTGACTGAAACATTACATTCTATTTTACAACTGTTTTTTGCTCTAACTAGAAAATTAAGATTTCAATGTTTTATTTTACTTTACAAACTCTTATAATCCTTAAACATCATCTATGTTCCATTACTAAACCTAATCAATGTTCATTTTTTAACTGTAATCAGTGTTCATTTACTTACGAATTCCTGCATTATTAACCAAACAATCAATTCTACTGTAGTTTTTAACAGCTGTATTTATGACATTCTGTAAAAGATAAATAATTCTAGACAATCCCATTTCAAATACAACTAAAGCTATACAAATATTTATAACAATCCCATGCAAATACAAATTTAGCTATACAAATATTTATAACAATCCCAAAGTAAATACAACTAAAGCTATATGAAGATTTTTAAGCTGTGACAACATTGGTCTTATAAAATATGAATGCAATACCAACCTCAACTTGATCTTCTTTGCTGACGTCACACGCGACAAACTTACAAACACCAGGTCCCATAGCATTTAGCTCCCCTTCTACAGCTGCTCCAAGTGACTCTGAAAACATGAGCAAGTTCTCTACAACAGTCTTGAATGATACCCATCCAAGTTCTCTACAACAGTCTTAAATGATACCCATCCAAGTTTTCTACAACAGGCTTGAATGATACCCATCCAAGTTTTCTACAACAGGCTTGAATGATACCCATCCAAGTTTTCTACAACAGTCTTGAATGCTACCCATCCAAGTTTTCTACAACAGTCTTGAATGATACCCATCCAAGTTCTCTACAAAAGTCTTGAATGATACCCATCCAAGTTTTCTACAACAGTCTTGAATGATACCCATCCAAGTTTTCTACAACAGTCTTGAATGATACCCATCCAAGTTTTCTACAACAGTCTTGAATGATACCCATCCAAGTTTTCTACAACAGTCTTGAATGATACCCATCCAAGTTTTCTACAACAGTCTTGAATGATACCCATCCAAGTTTTCTACAACAGTCTTGAATGATACCCATCCAAGTTCTCTACAACAGTCTTGAATGATACCCATCCAAGTTTTCTACAACAGTCTTGAATGATACCCATCCCCATGGAGACAAATAGTGTTGATAAATATTTTTCTGGCTACATACAAGTTTTCAAGTCCAGTCATAATAAAAATCTAAATTTTTAAATCAACATAATATCCAACATATTCTAATAATTTTTAAAAATGTTAACACATATATATTGAGTATTATTGAGTGACTAGATAGATTTAAGTCTTTCATCAACCTGTCACTGAGCACTTTTTTCACTGTCTATATCAAAAAGGAATTTTAAAGTTGCAAGAAACTCTTGTAAAAATTAAGGTTCAATCATTAAAAATAATGACATACTAAATGTACTTCTATGCAGGAGGAATAATTTGACTTGTCAGTTTGCTGGTCAGAACCAGGATCAGTTGAAAGCTTACCTTGGACATCACAGAATACAACTTTAGATCCATTGAGAACTACAGAAAAAGTAAAAATACAAAGTTAGTTTTCATGACTACAACAGCAGTCTAACAAAAACATTTTGCAACTATAAAATAATCGATTGGATTTTTCAGCAGCTTCATGACAGGGCGTGGTCAAATTGTAGAGCTAATGACTTAATGGGTGCCTGACTCTGGTCCACCCAGCTCTGATGGGCACCTGACTCACTTCTGGGCATAGTACTGACCACACTATCCCCTTCTATGCCGAGGTCTTTAAACATGTTGAGCTCTACTTCATCTGCCATGGATGTGTCTTGGGCACAAACAGAAAAAAATGACCAGCACACTACTACCATGGTGAGACCCTTGTAAGATTTACATATTTAAATACCTTGGCAGGAATGTAGTTATGTGTTATTTAAGGACTAACAGGCTTGTAGATTGCAAAGGGAAAAAACTCAATATATTTGGCAAAATAATATAGTTGTGGTTATATCCCCTTGAGACACAACTGGGAGTGGGCAGCCATGACACCAAGAAAAAAATTATATTGGGCAGGGGGGCTGTTAAAACTAAACAGTGTAACAGGAATATTTATGATTATTAGTATTAGATTAATGCTATGATTTTTAAATTAACTTTGTTATTATTGCATAATGCAATATTATGACTGGTCAGTGACTTTATAGACATCGGTCATCAGGAGAAAATGTGCAGAACAAAAATGTATTCAATGATACATTTAATATGAGCACACATGTCTTGTGTTGCTGGAGTTTAGTCCTTCATACCAGAGTGACGAAATATTTTATAAGGGTTTTATATATACGTTAAAAATCATGAACTTTTAGAGGTATGACTTTTTTTTCTAAAACTGAGTTATTTGAATGTAAACAAGGCCAGAGCTAGATTTCTTCGATCTCAGTTATTGGGTCACAGGTCACCCACACTACCACCCAGATGCACAAAAATGTGCTGTGTATGAAAGCTTTGAGTGTATGTTAATCACCATCTGTAATGGTGGAGATGCAACCCTGGTTCAGTTTAGTCCTCAAATGTAGTATCCCACCTTGCCCCTAGTGTAGGGTGCTCTTAAAACAAATATAGGCACCATTCCATAGTACTCATAGGAAAGCCTGGTGTGCTATGGGTCATGGAACACCAGAGTGCTAAAGTTAAAGATGCTCTTGTTGCAAGTCTTGACTCCTTGTGCTGATCTCATGTGCTAAGATAGCCACTAAGGAAATCTGGGTGATAAATTGCACCTGACTGCAGGAATACCTCTCCTCCAAAATTAGAATTTTTTAATTTTTTTTTGCAGAACCATTCCTAGGCCTAGGAGTGTCATGGCGATCGGATGACAGGTGTAGTAGGTAGTTAATTTATGCAAACAAAAAAGACAAACACACCCACAGACATCTGCGCTTAGACTCGGCACTATTCTATTGAATATTGATTTATAATATAATTGACTAATTGTAACTGTACTCACACACACAGAGATTTGAGTGACTAGAGAGAAGCAGTAGACTAGTACTGTAGAGTTAGTAACTTAGGTAGTAGTTAGTAAGTACTAAGTAGTAGTAAGTAGTAAGTAGAGTTAAGTGAACTTAAGTAAGACTTAAGTCAGTTAAGAACTTAAGAAGAGTGTCGTTGCGTCGAGTGTATCCACTCCTGTCAGACGGGGGTCTATATCTACATTCTAGATCTAGTTCTACTATTCTAAAAAAATGTCACTAAGCTTCTAGATTCTACCTACCAAATGTTTTGACAATCCCATAACCAATTCCCGAAGCACCTCCAGTAACAATGACAACTTTATCCTTGTATCGTAAAGCCAGGGGCATCGCCATTTTGTATATTTTGATCACATGATAATGCTTGTTTTGCTGCTAAATATAGATCTAGGTTTAATCTAGGTCAACTTTTGAAAATAAAAAAGTTTGTAGGCTAGGCTATGTGGAACGAAATAGATCTAGATTCTACAACTTTACAGTTTTCAAATATTTTGAGTCAAATACATGTTGCGTTCAATACAAAGCTTGATTGCAATAGCCGCTAGAGACTAGATTTAGATCAAGAATCAAGATCTAAATACTAATTAGATCTAGATCTAAATGCCGTGAAGTTTTAAAACTAATTTAAACTTAGGTCTAGATCTAGAAGATTAATTTAATAATTTCGAGAAAATAATTTCAATAATTTGTCATTCTACTGATTCTAGTTCTAGCACTCTAAGGTAAAATCACGATATAGCGTCGGAAATTATTGGGTAATGTTCGTTGAGTTTCGGTAACATTCGTTACTGTAAACCATAGTTTATTTGACCGGTGAAATAAAAATAGAGTCAGGTGCATTAAATTATTGTTTTAACGTAATTTAATGTTTAACTGACAAAAAAATAGCAATAATTAGTAAATCTAAATATTATTAATAAAGTCGAGTGTAGTAATTAATGTTTTTTTTTAAGAAACAGAAAAAACCTGCAGAAGATTTGCGACAACCAGCTCTAGTTCTGTTAGTAAATAAGACGATTAGATTAACTAAAGTTAAAAGTAGTAAGAATATCTAGAATAATGTTTAGTAGCAGCAATAATTAGCACATACACTTAAAATAATTAGAAATACAAAATAATTAGCAAAACAGTATTTAAAATGCAACTAAAATCAATCCTTGCACATTTTTAAACATTATGTATTAAAAATAATATGGCGGCAAATAAATGATGGTTTACAGTATTTCCGGTGGTTTCCGGAACGGCTCGACAGACTACGCCATAGTTTTACTGTTTTTTACTGCTGTACAGTTCCGGAATAATAACCGACGCTATATCGTGATTTTACCCACTCTAAATCTAGATTTCTAGATCTAGATCTAGAATTGTTGTAGTAGTGTAGTGTCAGCTATACTCGACTCCTCATGAGCTAGATCTCTAGAGAAAGTAGTTAAATCTAATCTAGTAGAGAGAGATCTATTCTAAAATCTAGAGATCTTTAGTTCTTACATCCACATCTACTTCCAGTACTAGATTCTAGATCTAGATGTCTACAATGACAGGTAGGCTAAACTTAATTAAAACTGGTAATCTCATTATTATAATTAAATTAGGCCTACAGGCCTATACTATAATATATTACTGGTGAGCTGTGGTTCACGCTAAATGTTTACAATCGTAGAGCCGGGTTTAGGGGCAGATAATTTAGTTTGAAGCGATTTTAAACTTAGGGGAGGTAGCTAAGAGGAGGCTGCTCTCACGGGGGGGGGGGGGGGGTATGGGTTGGGGGAAAGGAGGGGGGGATATTGTCCTTAACGACTTACTGATAGTGTTTTAAAGCAAATATTTTCAGTGACAGCAGTGGTACTGTCAAATTCACAAATTATGAATTACTGAAAAGTAGAAAATAAAACAACTAAATAGCGGCGTATGATACGCCGTGGGTCGGCTCATATTATATACTAATATATTATATAGCCTACCTAATACCTATCCTATATATATTGAGACACCTTTCTTTCACATACTAGTTTTGGCTAGTTTACATATCAAAAACAATTAATAACAGAATTTTATATTTGTTTGTAACCTGACATTTAATATTCATTATTTTCTTTACATTGTTAGTTTGCCGTATCTGTTGAGCTGTCATACTAGCAGACAGTTTTTTACATGTTTAGTTGTGAGAATTTATAGCCTCCATTCATGCAATAATCAAATGGTTTTATATTATTAATGAAACATTTCACTGTTTTTTTTCAGCTCCTAGATTTAAATGTGTTTGGGTCATTTAGATACTTTAAAATATACTTTGCAATGTAGAGTCATAATTTACATATGAATTAGTATTTGTATATAGTCATTATTTACATATGTATAGAGTCATAATTTACATTTGTATAGAGTCATTATTTACATATGTATAGAGTCATAATTTACATATGTATACTAGTATAGGGTTGTAATTTACATATGTATAGAGTTGTAATTTACATATGTATAGATTTATAATTTACATATGTATTTGTATAGAGTCATAATTTACATATGACTTGTGACTGATTGATGTAGGAGAACAAAGTTAATTGATGAATTTCTAAAAAATTTTTTGCCGCAGATAAACTAAATAACAGCCTGTTGGTTATTATTATTGATACAAATCCCGTGTGGTGGGGGAAGAAAGGAGTCACTGATGAGCAGGTATGGTGGTGGTGCAGTTTAAATTGGGTGTTTCATTGTTTGTCTGTTTGTTTGTGGCCATCTGGCATGTGTTTTAATCATGACAGTTTGGCCATCTAGCATGTGTTTATCATGACAGTTTGGCCACCTGGCATGTGTTTATCATGACAGTTTGGCCATCTGGCATGTGTTTGTCATGACAGTTTGGCCATCTGGCATGTGTTTATCATGACAGTTTGGCCATCTGGCATGTGTTTTAATCATGACAGTTTGGCCATCTGGCATGTGTTTTAATCATGACAGTTTGGCCATCTGGCATGTGTTTATCATGACAGTTTGGCCACCTGGCATGTGTTTATCATGACAGTTTGGCCATCTGGCATGTGTTTATCATGACAGTTTGGCCACCTGGCATGTGTTTATCATGACAGTTTGGCCATCTGGCATGTGTTTATCATTACAGTTTGGCCACCTGGCATGTGTTTATCATGACAGTTTGGCCATCTGGCATGTGTTTGTCATGACAGTTTGGCCATCTGGCATGTGTTTATCATGACAGTTTGGCCATCTGGCATGTGTTTGTCATGACAGTTTGGCCATCTGGCATGTGTTTATCATGACAGTTTGGCCATCTGGCATGTGTTTTAATCATGACAGTTTGGCCATCTGGCATGTGTTTATCATGACAGTTTGGCCATCTGGCATGTGTATATCATGACAGTTTGGCCACCTGGCATGTGTTTATCATGACAGTTTGGCCATCTGGCATGTGTTTGTCATTACAGTTTGGCCATCTGGCATGTGTTTATCATGACAGTTTGGCCATCTGGCATGTGTTTGTCATGACAGTTTGGCCATCTGGCATGTGTTTTAATCATGACAGTTTGGCCATCTGGCATGTGTTTTAATCATGACAGTTTGGCCATCTGGCATGTGTTTATCATGACAGTTTGGCCACCTGGCATGTGTTTATCATGACAGTTTGGCCATCTGGCATGTGTTTTAATCATGACAGTTTGGCCACCTGGCATGTGTTTATCATGACAGTTTGGCCATCTGGCATGTGTTTATCATGACAGTTTGGCCACCTGGCATGTGTTTGTCATGACAGTTTGGCCATCTGGCATGTGATTGTCATGACAGTTTGGCCATCTGGCATGTGTTATCATGACAGTTTGGCCACCTGGCATGTGTTTGTCATGACAGTTTGGCCATCTGGCATGTGTTTATCATGACAGTTTGGCCATCTGGCATGTGTTATCATGACAGTTTGGCCATCTGGCATGTGTTATCATGACAGTTTGGCCACCTGGCATGTGTTTGTCATGACAGTTTGGCCATCTGGCATGTGTTTGTCATGACAGTTTGGCCACCTGGCATTTATTTAATCTCCAGCTGAGCCTGAGCCACTGTGTTGACAGTGTAATTGTCCTGGCCAACTCCCACCTCATGTTGACACACAGAAACAAGCTGGCTGTCATTGCTGCTCACACAGACCACTGGTCAGTTCACATTTCCTACCATCCTAAAACTGTCAGCTCACTTCCATTTCCTACCATCCTAAAACTGTCAGCTCACTCACATTCCCTACCATCCTAAAACTGTCAGCTCACTTCCATTTCCTACCATCCTAAAACTGTCATCAGTTGAAAAAAATGTTACCATCTTAAAACTTTGCTTTTATTTATCTGTATAATTTCACATTTTACAATTAGTCTGTTAAAATGAGTTTATAGAAATTACTCTACCATTATTTACTACATGTTCATTACAAATAACATAATTTGTTATTAATTAGAAAAATGTAATAACAGTTTTGGTTGAAAATAATGATAACATAAAACACAACTAATGAGCAGATTGTTCGTCTGCAGTGAATTCTTGTATCCCTTACCTGAATCATCAAACAAAAGATTGGTAAAATTACCTGATGACGGACAGTACGAGCTCTTCAGTCAAGTTGAAAGTCAACTCAAGTCACAAATCAAGCAGCTGATTGCTGCAGGTAGAAAACTCTCACCCCACGGTGTCCTGACTTGTCATGTTAGGTCCTTGTTGCATTAGGTCTTTGTTGTTATGTTAGGTCCTTGTTGCATTAGGTCCTTGTTATCATTTAGGTCCTTGTTGTCATGTTAGGTCCTTGTTGTCATGTTAGGTCCTTGTTGTCATGTTAGGTCCTTGTTGTCATGTTAGGTCCTTGTTGTCATGTTAGGTCCTTGTTGTCATGTTAGGTCCTTGTTGCATTAGGTCTTTGTTGTCATGTTAGACCCTTGTCATGTTAGGTCCTTGTTGTCATGTTAGGTCCTTGTTGTCATGTTAGGTCCTTGTTGTCATGTTAGGTCCTTGTTGTCATGTTAGGTCCTTGTTGTCATGTTAGGTCCTTGTTGTCATGTTAGGTCCTTGTTGTCATGTTAGGTCCTTGTTGTCATGTTAGGTCCTTGTTGTCATGTTAGGTCCTTGTTGTCATGTTAGGTCCTTGTTGCATTAGGTCCTTGTTGTCATGTTATGTCCTTGTTATCATGTTAGGTTTTTGTTGCATAAGGTCCTTGTTGTGTGAAGTCCTAGTGTCAGCCATTGTGTTTCCCCAGATAAGGAGAAGATGGACGAGATGTACGAGCTGATGGAGGGACCCAGTGACTCACTGCTGGCAGGGGCCATGTGTAAAGCTCTCTGCTGTATCCTTGACCTTGGTGGTACATGGCTGCTTGACATGACATGTGGCAGGATGCCATTAGATATGTCATGACACTTGTCACCTTAAGCCTTGAAACACTCGACTGAAAATGACCAGAGTTTTTTTAAATAGCTTTATTAGGTGATTTGTTGCCAGCAGAACTGAATGACCGAGTTTCTGCACATATCTGGCCAGTTTTCTTATTGACACTTGTCCCTGTTGTGTAAAGCCCCTGTTGTTGTGTGTGTGTCAGTAAAGCCCCTGTTGTTGTGTGTGTAAAGTCCTTGGACTACTGACTGACATTTAAAGATAACAAAAACAACTTAACACAGTTGAGATATCCACAGACTTGAGAAAGAGTGTCCTATTGGAGAAACTTTGTCTGCTCGTATGCTGGTAAGACTTGCAGTCACTCAATTTTTGAAGTTTTGTGTTTGAATGGGCCTGACGTCAACCTGTGTCTCATGCTGTCAACATGTGTCTCATGCTGTCAATATGTGTCTCATGCTGTCAATATGTGTCTCATGCTGTCAATATGTGTCTCATGCTGTCAATATGTGTCTCATGCTGTCAACATGTGTCTCATGCTGTCAATATGTGTCTCATGCTGTCAATATGTGTCTCATGCTGTCAATATGTGTCTCGTGCTGTCAATATGTGTCTCGTGCTGTCAATATGTGTCTCATGCTGTCAATATGTGTCTCATGCTGTCAATATGTGTCTCATGCTGTCAATATGTGTCTCATGCTGTCAATATGTGTCTCATGCTGTCAATATGTGTCTCATGCTGTCAACATGTGTCTCATGCTGTCAATATGTGTCTCATGCTGTCAACATGTGTCTCATGCTGTCAACATGTGTCTCATGCTGTCAACCTGTGTCTCATGCTGTCAACATGTGTCTCATGCTGTCAATATGTGTCTCATGCTGTCAATATGTGTCTCATGCTGTCAACATGTGTCTCATGCTGTCAACATGTGTCTCATGCTGTCAACATGTGTCTCATGCTGTCAATATGTGTCTCATGCTGTCAATATGTGTCTCATGCTGTCAATATGTGTCTCATGCTGTCAACCTGTGTCTCATGCTGTCAACATGTGTCTCATGCTGTCAATATGTGTCTCATGCTGTCAATATGTGTCTCATGCTGTCAATATGTGTCTCATGCTGTCAATATGTGTCTCATGCTGTCAATATGTGTCTCATGCTGTCAACCTGTGTCTCATGCTGTCAACTTGTGTCTCATGCTGTCAATATGTGTCTCATGCTGTCAATATGTGTCTCATGCTGTCAATATGTGTCTCATGCTGTCAACATGTGTCTCATGCTGTCAATATGTGTCTCGTGCTGTCAACCTGTGTCTCATGCTGTCAACCTGTGTCTCATGCTGTCAATATGTGTCTCATGCTGTCAATATGTGTCTCATGCTGTCAATATGTGTCTCATGCTGTCAATATGTGTCTCATGCTGTCAACCTGTGTCTCATGCTGTCAACATGTGTCTCATGCTGTCAATATGTGTCTCATGCTGTCAACATGTGTCTCATCTCTACAGGTGATCAAAGGATCTGAGGACTGCCCCTCTCAGTACATGAACTTTATGAATGCTGTCTTCACTGCCCAAAAACAGGTTTGAAGTTTTTTTGTCCAGCTAAAAACTGTATGAACCCTGACCAAACATTGTAAACTAGATCAAATATAGCTAAAATAATTTCTAAATTTGGGACTTTGTCATCCCCCCCCCCCTACAGAACATCGTGATAGATGCATGCATACTGGATGCTGAGTCCGGCTTGCTTCAACAGGTGAGTTGCTTCAGGTATACACAAACAGGTGAGTTGCTTCACACAAACAGGTGAGTTGCTTCACACAAAAGGTGAGTTGCTACAGGTATACACAAACAGGTGAGTTGTTTCACACAAACAGGTGAGTTGCTTCAGGTGTACACAAACAGGTGAGTTGCTTCAGGTATACACAAACAGGTGAGTTGCTACAGGTATACACAAACAGGTGAGTTGCTTCACACAAACAGGTGAGTTGTTTCAGGTGTACACAAACAGGTGAGTTGCTTCAGGTATACACAAACAGGTGAGTTGCTACAGGTATACACAAACAGGTGAGTTGTTTCACACAAACAGGTGAGTTGCTTCAGGTATACACAAACAGGTGAGTTGCTTCACACAAACAGGTGAGTTGCTTCAGGTATACACAAAAAACAGGTGAGTTGCTTCAGGTATACACAGTAGATACTTACGCCAGTTTCCATCACTAACTTGGTCCTATTTAATAAATAATTCAAGAAAAACCATTTCTTGTTTAGGCTTTAGAAGCAAATGAGTTAACCCTTTACTGCCCTGGTAAAATGATTTTCATTTAAGAGAAAAGATTTTAGAAACCATTATACTTTTATGGTATTATCCAGGAAATGGACTTTTCTTTTTTGTTAACAATGTTCAGGGAGTCTAGAAAAATAAAATTGTTTGATTTACAAATATCAAATAAAAGTATCATTAGAAAGCTGCTAATTTTCACTGAGGATAGAATATTTGGCTCTAAAAGGCACCTCTTGGGTTATATATAGGAGAAAATAAAACTCTGAAGCAAATAACCACAGTAATGACACTTTGATGGAGTGATGTTATACACCTTAACACTCCAGATTTCCTGGATTGGGTCGGAAAGGTTTAACTTGTTGAACTATCAGTACCTCAAATCTTTTCAGGCATGTGACATAACTGGTGGAGTCTACTTAAAAATTCCGCAGCCAATGGGCTTGTTACAGTACCTGATTGTAAGTTTGTAACATGTCTTATGTTTAAACGTACTAGATCTAAAACTGTTCCATTTTTTCCTGATTGTAAGTTTGTAACATGTCTTTATGTTTTAAGGTACTATATCTAAAACTGTTCCATTTTGCTATAGTCCATCAGTTTCAATGTGTTTTATTTTAATTCTTCAGTGGGTGTTTCTACCTGACCCGAGCACTCGATCAAAGCTGGCTTTACCTCCCCGTGCCCAAGTGGATTACAGAGCTGCATGTTTCTGCCACAGGAATCTCATAGACATCGGCTACGTCTGCTCTGTTTGTCTGTCTAGTCAGTTACCTTTTTATTTGGATCATCTGTCTCTCTGTAATCTTACATCAATACATGTAATCTAAAAGAATTGTTTGTTATCTTACATCTGACATGTAAACTAAATAAATCTTGTGTCTATGTAATCTGAGGATTGAGCCAACTGAACCGTTCATAAATTTTTTTTATTTCAGTTTATTGCACCTTCAGCCCCATCTGCTCCACCTGTCAGTAAGTCACTCAACAAATTATATCTGACTTGCCAGTTAGTCTGTCAATTATCTGTTGGTCATATCTGACTTGCCAGTTAGTCAACTATCTGTTGGTCATATTTGACTTGCCAGTTAGTCTGTCAACTATCTGTTGGTCATATCTGACTTGCCAGTTAGTCAACTATCTGTTGGTCATATTTGACTTGCCAGTTAGTCAACTATCTGTTGGTCATATTTGACTTGCCAGTTAGTCTATCAATTATCTGAGGTTGTTTATATTTGAATTGCTATTAAGAAAGTCTGTCAATGTTCAGTTTACTAATTTTGATTAGTTTTAACACCATCAGCAAGCAGTTGTCATAAGTTGACTTTTTTTTTTTACAGGACAACGTTCAAGATTCTAGGACCACAGAAAATTTTAAAAAAGAAAAAAAAGATTTAAGATTGATCATAATTGTTTGCATAATTAAATCTGTAAATATACATGAACCGTAGTTGATGTTAATTGTGTTTTATCATAAGTATACACTTGTATAGCAGACTGAGGGTCTAGAGAGTCCAATCATTGAGTTCTAGTCACTGTGTAGCCAGGACTACACCCTTGGCTTTTATCTCAGCCCCATTTTCAGTGACAAAATGAAAACAAATTGTTTTAGGCTTTTTTTTTTTTCAATTTTTTTTTAGTTACCAAAAATACTAAAAACGTACAGTAAGATTTTATAACTATATTTATTTTAATATAGTACATAATTTTTAAAAATATTCAATGGGCCTTTCAACTAATTTCAAGATTTTTGCTGGTGTCAATAAGCCTACTACAATAAATTGTGTACATACACCAAAAAGGTAACTTTGTAGCACAAGTTCGCACCAATCAGCACTACTCTGCTGAACAGGAAGCAAGACATCTTTTAATCCTTGCTACTTGGTACACAGGTTTAAAGATCACAGTCAAAAGTAATCATGGAACAGGAGAATGCTAAATTTAGAACATTTGAGGTTCAAGGTTATGCAGCATTAAAAACTGTTCTCAATGAAATAGATTCAGGTCATATATTTGTCCTGTTTAGTGGATCCAATGATGAGAATGGTCAAAGCTGGTGTCCTGACTGTGTGGAAGGTAGGAATTCATTGACCACTGACTAGATCAAATGGTCAGACACTGGAAGGTATGAATTCATTGACCACTGACTAGATCAAATGGTCAGACACTGTGGAAGGTATGAATTCATTGACCACTGACTAGATCAAATGGTCAGACACTAGAAGGTATGAATTCATTGACCACTGACTAGATCAAATGGTCAGACACTGGAAGGTATGAATTCATTGACCACTGACTAGATCAAATGGTCAGACACTGTGGAAGGTATGAATTCATTGACCACTGACTAGATCAAATGGTTGAGACAGGTGTCGCCAATGTGTCTTGTGACAAACTAGCCCACCACTAGACATGTGTCTTGTGACAAACTAGCCCACCACTAGACATGTGTCTTGTGACAAACTAGCCCACCACTAGAAGACTTGTATTGTAACAGCTCTTTTTTCTACACAGCAGAACCAGTGATAGACCGTAACCTTCACTTGTTGTCCAACAATGCCGTCATCATACGTTGTAGTGTTGGCGACAGATTGTAGTAAGTCTTTCATGCAACTTGTATATGTTGTGCTACAATGCCGTCATCATACGTTGTAGTGTTGGCGACAGATTGTAGTAAGTCTTTCATGCAACTTGTATATGTTGTGCTACAATGCCGTCATCATACGTTGTAGTGTTGGCAACAGATTGTAGTAAGTGTAAGTCTATAGCATGACTTCTATATGTTGTGCTACAACGCCATTATCATACGTTGTAGTGCCGCTGTAGGTTTTGTGCAATTTGTAGTACATATTGCAATGTTAGTAAAAAAATTCCTTAACCAAGTTTAGCAGCTAGTTTAAAAAAAAAAGAGCTTTATAATATAATTATAAAATATTTCAATGTTTGGTGAAGGAACGCAACATTTTGATTTGAGATAATAATTTTTTCCCCCACTACAAACCTGCTGCAGCTGGAGTAACCCATCCAATGAGTTTAGAAAAGATCCAGAGTTGAACTTGCGCTACATACCCACACTCATCAAAATTGGAACAGTAAGTTCAAGCAATTTATTATTCTAATCTTACACAGTTGAGAAAAAAATGTAGGTTTACTGGGCATTCATTTCTAAAAACTATTCTTAGATGTTCCAACTGAGTAGCACGGGTAAAATGTTCCAACGTGTAAAACCTGGAGAGCCACTGATTGGGTAGATAACCAGATTTTTTTGTGCGTTGATGCAGTAAAAATAAGGTTGCAAATTTCACTAAAAAAAGTTTTTGTGAAAAGTTGAACATTCAAACAGCTCCTACAAAAACAAGTTCAAACATCTGTGAGCTAATCAATGTGTGAATGTCTTGAGCTGTGAGCTAATCTATGTGTGAATGTCTTGAGCTGTGAGATAATCAATGTGTGAATGTCTTTAGCTGTGAGCTAATCTATGTGTGAATGTCTTGTGCTGTGAGCTAATCGATCTGTGAATGTCTTTAGCTGTGAGCTAATCTATGTGTGAATGTCTTGAGCTGTGAGCTAATCTATGTGTGAATGTCTTAAGCTGTGAGCTAATCTATGTGTGAATGTCTTGAGCTGTGAGCTAATCTATGTGTGAATGTCTTGAGCTGTGAGCTGATGAATACTAAACCTTTCAGCCCAAGAAGCTTGAAGAGAAGCAGTGTCTGAGTGAAGATTTGGTCCAGATGATGTTCGAGGAAGACGAGGAGGAGCCCGTCAAATTGATACCACCCCCCTCACTCACTACCTTTGGCTACACACCACAAGAAAATGTTCAGTAAACTCCCACTCACAAAAAATAAAACAAGTACAAGTGTACAACAGAAAGGTTTTTTAACTATATTTTTTAGTGTTTGAAAATTGTACACTTGATAGTTTGGATACATTTTTTGTCAGATTAGCCAAGTAGAGAAATGACAGGTTGTAATAAAAAACCACCAGTAAGCAATTCAGCTCACTGGTTGTAATGTATGGCATGGGTTGACAGCTCTGGTTGTAAGGTATGGCATGGGTTGACAGCTCTCTGGTTGTATGGCTGGGATGACACACAACACAAAGTGAATTGTTTTAATTTGATGTATTTTATCTTTTAAACTCTGTATTGCATTATCGTCATTTGGTTTTTATTAATCTTTTTTATTTGAACTATAATGGCACATGTATTTTATCACTACAAAGATAGAGTTCACCTGTTTGTGTCTGCATGTGAAGGTGTGGTCAGCTGTTTGTGTCTGCATGTGAAGGTGTGGTCACCTGTTTGTGTCTGCATGTGAAGGTGTGGTCACCTGTTTGTGTCTGCATGTGAAGGTGTGGTCAGCTGTTTGTGTCTGCATGTGAAGGTGTGGTCACCTGTTTGTGTCTGCATGTGAAGGTGTGGTCAGTTGTTTGTGTCTGTATGTAAAGGTGTGGTCAGCTGTTTGTGTCTGTATGTGAAGGTGTGGTCACCTGTTTGTGTCTGCATGTAAAGGTGTGGTCAGCTGTTTGTGTCTGCATGTGAAGGTGTGGTCACCTGTTTGTGTCTGTATGTAAAGGTGTGGTCAGCTGTTTGTGTCTGCTTGTGAAGGTGTGGTCACCTGTTTGTGTCTGCATGTGAAGGTGTGGTCAGCTGTTTGTGTCTGCATGTGAAGGTGTGGTGTGGTCAGCTGTTTGTGTCTGTATGTGAAGGTGTGGTCAGCTGTTTGTGTCTGCATGTGAAGGTGTGGTGTGGTCAGCTGTTTGTGTCTGTATGTGAAGGTGTGGTCAGCTGTTTGTGTCTGCATGTGAAGGTGTGGTCAGCTGTTTGTGTCTGCATGTGAAGGTGTGGTGTGGTCAGCTGTTTGTGTCTGTATGTGAAGGTGTGGTCAGCTGTTTGTGTCTGCATGTGAAGGTGTGGTCACCTGTTTGTGTCTGCATGTGAAGGTGTGGTGTGGTCAGCTGTTTGTGTCTGCATGTGAAGGTGTGGTGTGGTCAGCTGTTTGTGTCTGTATGTGAAGGTGTGGTCAGCTGTTTGTGTCTGCATGTGAAGGTGTGGTGTGGTCAGCTGTTTGTGTCTGTATGTGAAGGTGTGGTCAGCTGTTTGTGTCTGCATGTGAAGGTGTGGTCAGCTGTTTGTGTCTGCATGTGAAGGTGTGGTGTGGTCAGCTGTTTGTGTCTGCATGTGAAGGTGTGGTCACCTGTTTGTGTCTGCATGTGAAGGTGTGGTCAGCTGTTTGTGTCTGTATGTGAAGGTGTGGTCAGCTGTTTGTGTCTGCTTGTGAAGGTGTGGTCACCTGTTTGTGTCTGCATGTGAAGGTGTGGTCAGCTGTTTGTGTCTGCATGTGAAGGTGTGGTCACCTGTTTGTGTCTGTATGTGAAGGTGTGGTCAGCTGTTTGTGTCTGCTTGTGAAGGTGTGGTCACCTGTTTGTGTCTGCATGTGAAGGTGTGGTCAGCTGTTTGTGTCTGCATGTGAAGGTGTGGTCACCTGTTTGTGTCTGTATGTGAAGGTGTGGTCAGCTGTTTGTGTCTGCATGTGAAGGTGTGGTCAGCTGTTTGTGTCTGCATGTGAAGGTGTGGTCAGCTGTTTGTGTCTGCATGTGAAGGTGTGGTCACCTGTTTGTGTCTGCATGTGAAGGTATGGTCAGCTGTTTGTGTTTGTATGTGAAGGTGTGGTCAGCTGTTTGTGTCTGTATGTGAAGGTGTGGTGTGGTCAGCTGTTTGTGTCTGCATGTGAAGGTGTGGTCAGCTGTTTGTGTCTGCATGTGAAGGTGTGGTCAGCACTATGCCCAGGTGCCTTTACTTTCTCTAAAATGAGTCAGGTACCCATTACAGCTGGGTGGACTCAGGGCATTCTACAGACAAGAACTTGGGAATTGAACTCAAGACTTTCTGGTTAACTGTCATATGCTATAACATTGAACCATGTCGTCTCATAAAGGTCTTGTACAGAAAAAAATGTCTCGGTTGGGTTGGGTTGGTCTACCAAAAAAATGTCTGGGTTGGGTTGGTCTACCAAAGAAATGTCTTGGTTGGGTTGGTCTACCAAAAAAATGTCTTGGTTGGGTTGGTCTACCAAAAAAATGTCTTGGTTGGGTTGGTCTACCAAAAATGTCTGGGTTGGGTTGGTCGAACATGATGGTTCAACACTCCCAGCTGAGATCTCATGAGTTTTGGACAATCAAAGTAGATGTAGATGCTACAAGTAGATGTAGATGCTACAAGTAGATGTAGATGCTACAAGTAGATCTAGATGCTACAAGTAGATGTAGATGCTACAAGTAGATCTAGATGCTACAAGTAGATGTAGATGCTACAAGTAGATGTAGATGCTACAAGTAGATGTAGATGCTACAAGTAGATGTAGATGCTACAAGTAGATGTAGATGCTACAAGTAGATGTAGATGCTACAAGAAGATGTAGATGCTACAAGTAGATGTAGATGCTACAAGTAGATGTAGATGCTACAACAACGTCCATTCAAACATTCACTTAAAGTTAAAGATCATTTAAAATCACCTTTAATATGTTTATATGGAAAAAAAGTGATGTAGAATAGTAAAACGCACTTAATAAAGGAGGAGTGCTATGAAAACTATCAGCAATAAGAGTTTGGTTGGACATTCAGCAGCAACAGAAAATATGAAAACAACAGCATTTATTTTTATACAGACATGTTGGGCCAACCAGATCAGACATGTTGGGCCAACCAGATCAGACATGTTGGGCCAACCAGATCAGACATGTTGGGCCAACCAGATCAGACATGTTGGGCCAACCAGATCAGACATGTTGGGCCAGGGCCAACCAGATCAGACATGTTGGGCCAACCAGATCAGACATGTTGGGCCAACCAGATCAGACATGTTGGGCCAACCAGATCAGACATGTTGGGCCAACCAGATCAGACATGTTGGGCAAACCAGAAGAGCAACTGTGTTTGACTTCATGAATAAAACTAGCAGCAGAATCAAGGATATCATTAAATGGTAGCAGAGACACACTGGTCATTCTTGATTGTCCTGTATCAGATAAAGGATAAGATTGTCCTACAGAAAATATAGGACATCTGTCTGACGACATGGATGACACAAACTTATAACACACCCTGGACACACACGACAAAGACTGCTGTTCCCTATTGCGCAAGACAGAAACTAAACTTGTGTACTGGCTTTTGTTTCCACAAAACACCACAACAGTTGACCCCACACCACACCACAACAGTTGACCCCACACCACAACAGTTGACCCCACCCCACAACAGTTGACCCCACACCACACCACAACAGTTGACCCCACACCACAACAGTTGACCCCACCCCACAACAGTTGACCCCACACCACACCACAACAGTTGACCCCACACCACACCAGTTGACCCCACCCCACAACAGTTGACCCCACACCACAACAGTTGACCCCACCCCACAACAGTTGACCCCACCCCACACCACAACAGTTGAACCCACACCACAACAGTTGACCCCACACCACAACAGTTGACCCCACCCCACAACAGTTGACCCCACCCCACACCACAACAGTTGACCCCACACCACATCAGTTGACCCCACCCCACAACAGTTGACCCCACACCACAACAGTTGACCCCACCCCACAACAGTTGACCCCACCCCACCCCACAACAGTTGACCCCACACAACAACAGTTGACCCCACCCCACACCACAACAGTTGACCCCACACAACAGTTGACCCCACCCCACACCACAACAGTTGACCCCACACAACAGTTGACCCCACACCACAACAGTTGACCCCACACGACAAAAGTTGACCCCACACCACAACAGTTGACCCCACCCCACACCACAACAGTTGACCCCACACCACAACAGTTGACCCCACACCACAACAGTTGACCCCACCCCACACCACAACAGTTGACCCCACACCACAACAGTTGACCCCACACCACAACAGTTGACCCCACACCACACCACAACAGTTGACCCCACATAACAGTTGACCCCACACCACAACAGTTGACCCCACACCACATAACTTGACCCCACACCACAACAGTTGACCCCACACCACACCACAACAGTTGACCCCACCCCACAACAGTTGACCCCACCCCACACCACAACAGTTGACCCCACACAACAGTTGACCCCACACCACAACAGTTGACCCCACACCACAATAGTTGACCCAACACCACAACAGTTGACCCAACACCACAACAGTTGACCCCACACCACAACAGTTGACCCCACCCCACACCACAACAGTTGACCCCACCCCACACCACAACAGTTGACCCCACACCACAACAGTTGACCCCACACCACAACAGTTGACCCCACACCACAACAGTTGACCCCACCCCACACCACAACAGTTGACCCCACACAACAGTTGACCCCACACAACAGTTGACCCCACACCACAACAGTTGACCCCACACCACAACAGTTGACCCCACACCACAAGTTGACCCCACACCACAACAGTTGACCCCACACCACAACAGTTGACCCCACCCCACACCACAACAGTTGACCCCACACAACAGTTGACCCCACACCACACCACAACAGTTGACCCCACACCACACCAGTTGACCCCACACCACAACAGTTGACCCCACCCCACACCACAACAGTTGACCCCACCCCACAACAGTTGACCCCACACAACAGTTGAGCCCACACCACAACAGTTGACCCCACCCCACAACAGTTGACCCCACCCCACACCACAACAGTTGACCCCACACCACAACAGTTGACCCCACACCACACCACAACAGTTGACCCCACACACAACAGTTGACCCCACTCCACAGTTGACCCCACACAACAGTTGACCCCACACCACACCACAACAGTTGAC